AGGAGGAGATGAGCCAGTCAGGGTGCGATGTACCAACGATGAAAAATACAACTTTCCTCTAGTTCCTAAATGCTCCCCTCCCCACCCTCACTATTATGATCCCAATTCTACCTTGTACAACTCTTAATATGAGTGCACTATTGAATTGTATGCTATGTGAGTTCTATGCCAATAAAAGTGTTTTTAAAGAAATTTATGAAAGACCAGACTTACTAGTGTGAAGGAGACTGGAGGGAACCCTGAGACTATGGCCCTTAGTCAACCTTCAGCAGTGGGAATGCGAGGTCGCTATGAGTCAGAGTGAACTTGATGGTGGTGAGTTTGATTTGCTTTGAACTATATGAAGGAGGACATGGCATCGGGATTTGAGGAAGTTGCATTGACAACCTGCAATATGCGGATGACACAACCTTGCTTGCTGAAAGGAGAGAAGACTTGAAGCATTTACTGATGAAGATCAAAGACTACAACCTTCAATACAGATTACAAAGCAACTTAAAAAAACCCAAATCTTCACAGATGGACCGATAGATAACAGCATGATAAATGAGGAAAATATTAAAGTTGCCAAGGATTTCACTTTTCTTGGTTCCACCACAAATGCTCATGGAAGCAGCAGTCAAAAAAATATTAAAGGACATTGGGCAAATCTTATACAAAAGACCTCTTTAATGAGTTAAAAAGGAAAGCTGTAACTCTGAGGACTAAGTAAGGTGAGCCTGACGCAAGCCAATGGCATTCTGAATCACCTTATATGCATGGGAAAGATGGGCAATGTAAAGCGAAGACTGAAGAAGGCCTGATGCATGTGATTTATGCTACTTGTAAAGAATATTTTAAGTACCATGGGCTGCCGGGGGAAAAACAAATCGATCTTGGAGAAAGTACAGCCAGGATGCTTCTTAAAAGCTAGGATGGCAAGACTCGTCTCATACTTTGGACTGTTATAAGGAGAGACTGGTCCTTGGAAAAGGATATCGTACTTGGGTAAGTAGAGGGTCACCTAAAAAGAGGGCAACCTCAACAAGATGGCATGACACAGTGGCTGCAACAGGGGCTTCAACAGAGCCATGGTGAGGACGGGGCAGACTGGGCAGGTCTCATTCTGCTGAGCACAGGTGGCTAGGAGTCAGGCTGACGCGAAGGCACCTGACAACAACGGTCTTTTTCCAGAAACACTTTTACAGATGTGATTTCACACAAAGTTCATTTCTTTCCTGTAGAATAAATTCACAGAAGTCAAACTGCTGCATCAAAGAAAAATGATTTTTGTTTTCGATATGTCACTGACTTCCATGAAGGTTGAGTACCAAGTTGCACACTTTCATAAAAATAAAGTCTATTTAAGAGTCAGTTTCCACACATCTTTCAACAAATCCCTTTGTCAAATTCTACTCTGGAAAATCACTTTTTACGAGAACCATATTTTGAATACTTTTGTGACTTAAAATCATTTTCCATTTATCGAGCTTTATCAGAAGGAGGTATTTATTAGCTTAGAGGTCTGAGGTAATTCTGTTGGGAAAATAAAGGCTCACAAATTATTATTAAATTACTTCTATATGCATCAAATGTCAAGGAAGAGAAAAATTATCCCATTACTCTGGATAAAAGATCTACTTGTAGCAAGGAATACTGAGATGTTTCACTTTTAGGTGATCTTGAAACCAGTATTTTTAACACACGATATTCTCTTCAAGGAGTACAGAGAGCTTGTATTTATCCATCTTGTACCGGACCAAAGGGGTCCTGATGGTGTAGTACAGTGGTGTGCTATAAAGGCCAGTTGATCACACCCACCGCTGCTCCACATGAGACAGATGTGGCAGCTTGCATCTATCAAGATGTACGGCCTTTCAAACCACCTGGGCAGTTAGTTCTTGGTCCAATAGGGTCCTATGGGTCAGAATCAGTGTTTGGTTTTTGTTTGTTTTTTTAACACTGGCACAAAGGGGCTTAAAGTAGAAGGCTGGCTCTAGGAATAACACACCAGGGGGGAAGGGGGATAGGGGGGCACAGGAAAAAGTCATGGAGACAAGGTTTCATTCAGAAATGTTTAGAAAATTGGGGAAGTCAATGTACATTTCATTTCAAAACAACTTTAGAAGGAAAGGGCTTAACTACAACAACAACAATATAAAGATGCAGAAGACTGAGTTTAGAAAAGAGAACATACAGAGGAAGAAGAGTTGTGTGTGTGTGTGTGTGCGCGCATGCGCGCGCTTGTGTAGTTCATCAATCCATATAGTTTAACTCTTTAGAAATCAGCCATCAAACTCACAGCAGTTCTGGCCCAGAGGCGTGCACACTGACCTGTAAAAGCTGTGTTGCAGTAGCTCTCTGCTCAGGATTCTTCACCAGGCACTTTTTCACAAAATCGGTGAAATCATCAGACCAAAGTTCTGGTTTCCTGAATGTTGGTGGTGGATTTGTGGGGATCATAAAAATCGCCTAGTAGAAATGAAGGATCCGAAAGGCACTGTCAGACTCACAACAGCATAACCAAATAAGCAAATCACTTTATCTATCTTTTTTATCAGATTCTGTATCTGAAAAACAAATTTAAGCTGTTCTAGGATTTCCAGAAAGATTGCAATTCAGGAAGCAAGCCCATCTGCTACTAATGTAATCATTTCCCATTAAATTTCCTTTATTTGAATTGTAGCTCATTGAGCACATCATTCTTTATTTTATCTATTATTTTTTAGCAGTCTCCAGAGGAGACTTGGCGTTTCTGACCCTTTTACCAAACTAAGAATATTGCCTAGTTTATTTTATAGTCAAACAGATACCCCAAATTTTGCTATTGGCAAGCCAAATTTACTTCCCACTTTAATTTATATAAGCACAGTTACTCAAAATGGCTAGAAACAGTCCACCGTGCTTTTGCACTCTGAACAGAATCACAGCTCTGTTGTCCACTAGTACTCCATAGAGCTAATACGCAAGTCAGGATTCCAAATGAAAAGCTTTAAAGGTATTATGTCACTTTATTCTTTAAAAGACAGTACATTCAGATAGTTCAAAATTCAAAAGCTAGAAAGTCTCTCTCCTATTCCTGTCCCCAAGCTACCCAGTCATCCATGTTCAACAAAGAGAATTAATTCCTCATGAGCGTCCTTAGGAAATCATTGTATGTTATAGACAAACTTTGCTCCTGGGCATCTAAAATAGTTCCTAATAAAATATTGTTCCTAGCACATTAATTATCTTTAAACATATATGAAAACAATAGTCAATTGATACAAGTGTATGAAGTATTCAATACATATATGCTATTATTCTTCCACTGTAAAAAAAAGACCAACAGTAAATACAGCACGGAAAAAATGCAAGTAATCCGAACCAGCAGTAAATTTATATAATTAAACAATCACACAGAAGATAACACAAAACAAACACACCCACCGCCATCGAGTCGACACTGACTCACAGCCACCCTATGGGCAGGGTAGAGCTGCTGCGCCTGTGCGTCTGAGCCTGGACTCTATCTAGTACAGTCTCCTCTCGCGCCCTCAGAATTCAACATAAAGGGGGGAGAAATGGTCTTTTAATCATCTTTGTCAATGTATTTCTATGCGGCATGGTGACATGGGGTTCACAAAGACGGATCCAAAAACACTCCCTTCCCAGGCTGTAATGTTCTCTTAGCTTTTCAGACCAGAGGGCCTCGTCCCTCCTCACTCTCAGCTGGTAGTCCTCTAGTTTCATCTGCAAACACATGGAATGTGCAGGAACAGTCTCATTCCTCTAAACCTTAATCATGATACTTAGAAACTCAGTTGCTTACCACTGAAAGCAACTAATCCTAAGTATTATTTTAATGTCTGCTTATACATGGAGAAAACACCAAAACTGTAGACAAAATAATGATGATACATTCTGAAGCAGTGGTGGTGGTGGTGGGGGTAACCAATTGAGTTTTCTGCTCCTGCAAAGATTTACAGCTTCAGCAACCCGAAGGGTCAGTTCCACTCTACCCTGCAGGGTCACTGTGTGTAGCAATGGACTACATGGTAGCAAGTTTGGTTTTTATTCAGAAACTATTTAAAAGCATCATAGAATTTCCATAGTAAACGACATGTTAACCCAATATTCTCATTTTACATAAGAGTGACTCAAAAGCCCAGCTAGGTTAAAAATCTTAAAAACAAAATTTCAGATCTATAAAAAGGGTTTCACTTGGAAGATTAGCAAAGTTGTCTAATGTTTCTAGTGTGTTTGAAGAAGCCAGAAGATGAAGTACAAAGATTTACTAAATCTAAACAAATAGAAGCAGTAACAAAAGGATGAGATAATAAAACATGATCCTGTGTTCTACCTTGTACCTCTCACCAGTTCCTGCTCTATTTCTAAAGTGGAAAAGAAGCACAAGCAGGTTTTTAAGTTTTTAAAGCACGGCTGAGGCAGGAAAGAACTGAAAACGTACTACAATCACAACTGTGAAAGGTGATCAAATGGAAGATCATTCAATCATGTATGAATGAAGGTAAACATTTTTATAGTTCATAAATATTGTTCAGAGCCTACGATGCACAGAACACAGTGTTAGCATGTGACCGCGCAATGATGTACCGGGAACCAGTCACTGCCCTTAAGGCGTAAAGAGGAGAAGGACGCTCTCCTGTCAAGAAAGGAAGTGAAACACAAGCGGCCAGAATGAAGCCCTTGGAGGGGCAGAGGGCACGCAGATGTACTCTGTAAGGGACTAGGAAACACCAGATGATGAGCAAAACGAAGGGTGTGGGTTTCAAACCAAGGAGAGGTGGGGCTAGAAACACTTTAACTATATAATATAGAGGCTGGTATAGATGCCCAACTTCAATGGCATCAAATAGTGAAAAATTCAAATTAGAATAGGAACTACAGGACGGAAATGGAAGATATGAGGCAAGAAATACTTCGAGAGGTCAACCAAGAATACACATGGACATACTGTTTAGGAAGGGTAATAAAAGGAAGAATGAATAACTCCAGAATTCAGGAAATTGACAATAGGCAGCTAAATTAAATTGCAAGACACGCGGGTAGTCTAACAATTCATTATTTTTAATCACTTGAATACCTTTACAAGATGCAACAATTTATACAGTGTATTGTCACCGATCTTTAACTTGGAAAGGGAGCCAAAGGGTATTATGCTCTGAAGAAACAGGAAAGACTCATCGATCCAAGTCTGTTGGTTTAGGCTAAGAGTTACTCTCTTTATCAGTACATGCATCTTATTTCAAATAGGGCAAGTCCTTTACTGGATGAGGACATTCTTGCACATCTTACATCAGATTATGCATATTACAGCATATTACATATATTACACCTAAGCTAGTCTTTCAAAAGTACATTAGCCAGTATTAAGACAAAAGAAACATCTTTCAGTTGAAAAACAAGTATTTGTCAAGCACTTTCTATGTTGTCAAGGAGCTTTGCTGGTGGCAAGGGGTGCATGGTTGCTGGTGTTGGGTTGCTAACCCCAAGGGGTGCATGGGTTGTTGGTGCTGGGTTGGTGGCAGTTCAAAACCACCAGTCACTCTGTGGGAAAAGAATGAAATTGTCTGCTCCGGTAAATATTTAGTCTCAGAAACCCTATACTGGCTCACTATGTGGGGTAACTGGGCTAGGAAACACATAACAAATAATGGAGTGCCAAATAATGAAAAGCCCAGTCTGTAAATAGCCCAGCCAGTCTGTTAGTTTGCATAAGGCAGGCAGGACCTGACATGGCTATAAAGATTGGTAAAGTGAGGTTAACAGGAGCTTGTTGGAAAAGGTGCACACGACCCTCTTGCTTCTTCAAATTAAAGAATAAAAATAAATTTAAACTCTCACCTCTGCAAAATGTAGTTCAAAGCATCTATGAAACCCCCTATGTAGACTGACATCAAACTGCAGGTAAAGATACTAGATTATCTAGACAAATGTGGCTCATCTGCACTTGTGTTACAAATCAGTGGATAACAGCTCAGTGATTTATGTCCTTGAAGCTAAAGGTCTCCTTTGAACTTTGAGCCAATGAGTTTCAGCCTTATCTTCAGATAATCTTAACATATAAGGCTCACCTCAGCAGTAGCTATTAGAAACCCAAGGATGAAAAGCTGAGCTCTAACTCTTATTTACCCAGTACTGTCATAAAGTGAAGCTAAAAGGCTGGCATCCTATTCTCAAACAAGCACAGAATTGTAGTATACAGTTCAAACAATGATCCACCAAAATGCTGGGTATCTAAAGGCTCCAGGAAAACCGCCACACCTTTTGTTTCCATTTTTCTAGACTTGGACAATCCATTGCAACCAAATGAGAGTACATTTCCTCAAAGGCTTTCCTTTGATCAACTAATGAAATAGCCCAGTCATGAATCCTAGAGGAGCCTCTTCTGAATCTCTGGGTTTTCCTAAACGCTGACTAGGTAGCAGGCCCCTTGTAGAAAGTTTTGGTAATCAGTGGCTAGCAATTCACTTCTTTCCTTGCCACCAACCAAATCACAAGGACATACATTACAGCCATATAAACTTATCTTATCTCAAACACCATTTTGATCGAAAAAAGAATGTTAGCACACTAAAGGGTATGATTATCCGTGTGTTTGTTTCTACACAGTGTGTTGCTTAACTACATACTGAACCTTTGATTCTTTTTATTTTTTTAAGTAGTCTTACTAAGCCAAGGAATGTAAGCACCTCAAGACAGCTAATTATCTTCTTGCCTGGAATGTCATGCCCTGGACTCCAGGAACACAGAGGACTAGGAGAGCTGAGCTGAGCAGCTAAGATGCTGGACTTGGTCATCTCGGGGAGTGAGTCAGCAGGGATGGCCGAAACTCAGGTAGCTGGATTTGTGAAGGCACAGAAGCGGCGGGCACGCCAGCATGACAAAGAAATCCATGCCCCCTATTCATGAACCTCAGGTGTACAAACAAAAGGTTATCTCAATACCAACTAAAAGATAAAAGAACCGAGAAAGCACTTTTATAAAACTGCAAAATACTCACCAACAAACATACACGTTTGCTGACCAAAAATGTAACAAATGAGTAACAAAGTACTAAATCATAGTACTTATTTAGCCTATTGCCCCCTTTTCAGAAAAAAAAAAACTCAGCACCCCCCTGCTAAATAAAAACATGTGCGTGCTCTAACCCATTATCCAGGATAAAGGTGCCTGCATGTGCCTGCATGTGCAGTCCCTGCATTGTTCCAGCAGCCCTGGCAGCTTACTGGGTGCACACCAGGCTGCTCACTACAAGGTCAGCCGCTGGAAACCTGCAGCCAGCTAGCTCCAAGGAGGGAGATGGGCTTGCTGCCCCATAGAGAGGTACAGTCTCAGACACTCCCAGGGGCGGCTCCACCCAGTCTTACAGGGCCGCTAGGGGTTGGCATCGACTCAGTGACCAGGAGTTTGTGTTTACCTAGTACTAAATCAAAATCTAAATTTTTTTAAACAAATACAGTAATAAT